TGTTATCAAAATTCTAATGGCATTTTTGACAGAAATAGAGAAACCAACTTTAAAGTTCATATAGAACCACCAGTGGCCCCCAATAGCCAATACAATCTTGGGAAAGAAAAAAAAAAGGCTGGAGGCATTATACTTCATTTCAAATTATATTACAAATTTCATTTTTAAGATCTTTAGAATATCAACATGGAGTTAGCAAGCCCAGAACTTGAAAGAGGGCCAAAAATATTCTCTCAGCTGAGCTTTGGTTCTTAAAACCCACAAAAGGACTTAAATTAATTAAAATATGGTTTTCCTTAAGAAAAAAGCGTTGTCATGTTCCACAGAGGACATTATGCGTTCAGTTGTACTGTCTAGATGTTCTGGCTACTGTCTAGCTTTTTGACTGACGTATCTGACTCAGTCAGAGCGCTTGTTCAAGCACATTTCCTCTCTTTTGCCTGAACATGCCTGACTTTCTACAACTAGGGAATCCTAACACCTAGGAGGAGACAGGAGAGGGATATTTTGTATTAAGAGAGCCTATCTAATCCCACCTCCCTGTATGGTTGATACACTGTATCGACCTGAGGAGTCCTAACCTAGGTGACTCAGCAGCACGTGGGATAGGAAGGACATACCCTTAGCGCTCTAAAGGGTTGTTCATTGTGTCAATCTGAGAAGTTTAAAAGTTCCACTAAGTGATTGAGCAAGAGGTCAGGGTCCTTACCTTGTAAACATCCCCAGCTTGTGGAAGAGGAGGGCACAGAAATGGGGGGGGGGCTGGAATACAATGTTAGAGAGGAAAAGAGGCGCACAGCCCGCCCCTTTTATTCTTGCTGCTTTTGCTGGCTTCTGCCACCGTGAACTGCTGCCCTCTGCCATGTGCCACTCTGCCTGGAGCCAGCCAATTTTGGACTGAATCCTCCAGGAAGTGAGACCTAAATAAACCTCTCCTTCCTTAATTCTGGGCATCAGGCGTTTTGCCTCAGCAGTGAGAAAAATGTAAGTGAGACACCCCGAAGTCTCATCATACACGAACTCCTTGGGGCTGGTGCTTGAAAGATAGGACCTGGGAAGCACCTAAGCGAACGAAGTTGGTCCAAGCCATTGTATTAATAATAAAAGAAATGCCGGAACATTCTATGCATGATTATTTTGGGTCTTGGATAACTTTTTAAAAGCTTGTTGTTGCTGATGTAAATTTTTGCCCATGTGTACTTGTCGCATCCTGACTATTAAGTTTTGGGGTTTGTGAGCATACATTTATTGGGACATAGCATTACTGTCGCCGGGTGTGGCGATGGAAGCTGATAATCCCAGCCCTTGGGAGTGTGAGGGTGGAGAACAAGTTTGAGCCCAGAATGGGCAACTAGAGTCTTAGCAAGACCCTGATTGAAAATACAAGTAAAATTTTTAAAAAAGTAGGGAGGGATGAGCCCTAGTTTCAGCCTCTATAACCAATGGAAAAACATTACTCCCGAGTCTCATAACTACTCTAGCACCATGATATAAGCCCATCTACTTCCAACATATGTTTGTTTTCAAACCAAACACTAAATGCTACTTATGGAAGCAGAAAAAAAAAAAAAATCCACTTTAAATAGTAATCAGATAGCCTGCCTGCTATAGAACTCTCCTGAGAGAACAAGATTGTGCAATTAATAATGAAAGAAATGCTTGAATAGTCTATGCATGAATTGCCCCTCTTCCTCCAATTTGTGAATTTGGTTCACAAATTCTTATTCAAAGGTAAATTTCCAGGTCCTGTCCCTAGAAATTTGGACTTGGCTGGCCTGGGGTGGCGCTCAAGGGTCTTTATTGCTAAGTTTTCAATGCGTTCTTTCCTCCTGTACCATGAACCTGACACTGGGGTCTACAAGTCGCCGTTTCAGAATAGACACTTTCCTAAAGTAACTAGTAGGGCAATTCTTTTTTCCTTTCAGAACTTAACAGGAGGACAAGCCAATCCAGAATCTTTCTTGTCTTATATTGCCAAAATGCAAAGAATGGAATCATTAGGTTTCAGATGAAGATTAAAGAAGGAAAGAAGGTGGGGAGGTGTGAGGAACAGCAACACCAGCCGTTAAATGCACAAATGCACAGTCCAGGGATAAGGGCCGCTGGTCTCCAGCTTCACTGCACCCACAGAACCCACCGCCACGCACTCGGGCACCACAGCTCCACCACCACTACAGCTCCACTACAGCTCCACCTCCCCCTGTGCCTGCACTCACTAAAGCTGAACAGTCCCGTGCTGTTCAGTGCGGCGCTCAGTTCTAGAGCTTCACCGGGACTGATTCCACCACTAGCTTTCTTCAGTTTCTCATCTGCTAATGAGGTCATCAAAAGATTCAGGATTCTACGCATACAGAGTTCTCACTGCACACTTCGGAGGAGCTGCATTCAGCGTACCTTAAGAAATAGGTGCTGGGGGCTGAATCCAAGGTTGGATGGATTCCACTGTGGTACACATCGTCACAAAGGCATAGATCAAGTCCTGTTTCCAGGACAGCTAACAGGGAGTTGATTCTTAGAGGAAATCCGTGGTGAAAGCTTTTGAAAGGTTTTAATATTTTTGGTAAGCAAAACATTATAGAAAAATTACAAAAGTGGTTCAAAGAGCTCTTTTTCATTTTTACCTATTTATTTATTGGATACAGGGTCTTGCTATGCAGTTCAGACTCATAGTGATCCTCCTGTCTCAGCCTCCCCAGTGCTGAGGTTATAGGCATGTACAACTATGCTGCATTTCAGTGGCTGGCAGGGCATGCAGTACTAGGGATTGAACCTGCATCCTTGTGCTTGCCAGGCAGGTACTTAGACTGCTGAGCTATCTCCCCAGCCAGAGCTCTTATTATTCGTTCAGATGTTAACATTTTTGAACCATCTGAGAGTAGTTTCACATGTAATGTCCCTGGGTGGTCAGCTTTCCCTTGCTATGACAAAATATCTCAGAAAAGGCGATTTACAAGGAAGAAAGACTTATTTTGCCTTGTGGGTTCAGAGGTTTAGGTTACTTAGTCTGATAGCCTCATTGGGCCTGGGATAGCCTATACAGGGTGGGAGGAGGAGGAGGCTTGTGGTCTCATGGCAGAGAGAGAGAGAGAGAGAGAGAGAGAGAGAGAGAGAGAGAGACAGAGCCAGAGAGAGAGACACAGAGAGATAGAAAGAGACAGAGATAGAGACAGAAAGAGTCACATATACAGAGACAGGGACAAAGAGAGACACAGAGAGATAGAGACAGAGACACAGACACAGAAAGAGAGGGAGAGAGGTCAGGGTTCCCCCTCAAAGGAGCCTGCCCTACCCTGCCTTCCTTCCTCTAGGCCCACCTCTTAACTGTTTTACTACTCCCCAATAGCACCACAGGCAGTGACCACACTGTCAACACACGGCCTCTACAGCGTGTTCCATAGCCAGGCTATCATACGCCCTTCGCCCTTTTCTACTTGAGTGTGTACTTCGTACAAAGATACTTTCTGTTGAAGAAATAACACGGGTCTCATTTAATGCCTCAGATCTGTAGAAGTGATTGAGACTGCCCTAAGGATGTCATCCGTCTCCTTACAGCTGGGTCTTGGGCCTCTCTGAACATTACCTGCTGCATCCTGCAGGTGTCCATGTGGCGGCTTCCCACCTTTAACTTCCACAGCCCTGACCTGTAAGAGTGTATTTACTCGACTGTCTCTCAGTTTCCTTTCGTCCTGTGTTGTCTCCTTATATGTTACATGTTTAGGCGTAAAAACGGTGATAAACATGTACTCTTGGAAGGATATCTCGAATCTCAGCCTCCCCACCCACAGGGATGAACAGACTCCAGTTCACCTGTCCTGAGAGGCATCCAGGCGACGAGATGCTCGGCCGCTGCACCTGATGTCAAAATATGTTCGAACGTAAATCTTCAGTTTATTCTCGGTGTTGATAACAAGCCCTCCCGGCTGTCCCCCAGTCCCGCACCCTTCCCAGTCACCACCCCTAGCTTTCTCACTCCTGAAGCATCCAAGTTCCAAACTTCCTAAAGAACGAGGACAGGTTCGGTTACCCTTTCGCATTTGGTGTTTAACTTTCTTCTTTCCCAAGTGTGTTTCCAAATATTTTCTCCAGAGTTCCTCGGTGGTGTTTTGCGGTAAGAACAGCCCCTAGGCACTCCAGGCACAGGCTGTGGGGAGGATGTCGTCTAAATAAAAACGATATTGGAACAATATCGCGGGCCATCCAGGTGGCCCATTTTGATTTAGAGGGCACCAGCTGCACCTCGGAGAGGTCTTCAGAAGCTACTCGGCACCCAAGGGCCGGAGTCCTTAAGATCAGTCGCCTTGGGGGTCCCCGAAGTTGCAGTACGAGGCCGGCGCAGCAGTGGCTACGTCCGGAGCCCCGCGCGGTGAGCCAAGCGCTCTGTTCGCGAGCTGGGGCGCGGAGGCCCGGGTTACCCACGTTTTCTCTCCCTGGGCCGGGCCTAGTGTGCGCGGCCCGCGGCGCCCCGGGACGCGCTCAGGTGCCGACCCCGCCCAGGCCACCGCGCCCCTTCCGCCCAGGTGCGGCGCCCAGGT